AAGATCAGGACAGTTCGTCCCACGGAGGGAGCGAGATCAGCTTACTGCGGCGTTGGGGACGGTTGAACACTCTGGACGTGTAAGGGGTTTGTCCTCAAAGACAAGTTGGAAGGTCGGGTTTCCACAAGACGCACCAAGTTATAAGAAGAGAGACAAATACAAAGAACAACTATCGGACAAGATCTATACACAAGTGAAGGAACACTTCTACTCGTTGGCAGCTGAAAACCCGACAGCCTTTCCAAGGTTATTCCCTGATAGCCAGCAACCCACACAATCCGCACAGCAAACAACTAATGTACCCAGCAGTGTAGGCTCAGTGCAGACAACTATCTTCCATGTGGATAGTATAACTGGACCAACTCCGTGTAGTCTCGTCGTACCAATCGGCCGCGCTGGAAAGACTAAGGAGGTTGCAACGGGTTTAGCGATACCCGGACGTCAATTCCACAACACGGCAATCCCTGAGGATTACGCAAGGGTACAGGTCGCCAAGGTCCATAGCGACCACGTTTCCTTGGAACTAGACATACCTGCACCTGAGGGGATTCAACTTCTCGGTGATGCAGTGAATCAGTTTATCTTGTGGCACCGCAGAGACATAATCCTGAGCGCGGCCGTTCTTGCAGTAGGATCTTCAACCCCATCCTCATCGCAGGCAATGACTGCTGCCGCTCCTGCACCACCGTCGCCTCCTGAACCACCGTCACCTCGACATCCGCCGTCACCACCACCGCTTAGGTCACCGCCTCGCCAACCTACACCACCACCCTCCCCTTCTCAACAACCGCCTCTCCCGGTCCCGCAACCAGTTCAAGCCTCTCCCACCTCCCCAGCTAAACAGCATGCTCCCCCGGCTCCGCCCTCAGTTCAAACCTCTCCACCTACACCCCAATCTGCTCTGGTAGAACAAGTGCACATACCAGATGGTACAACATCCGAACCGAAGTCTAATACTTTGGAACTGAGTCGTATAATTCCAAAGTTGATATCGACATACGACCCAAAGGAGATTGACAAGGATAAGGAGAAGTTCATGTTTTCAGCTTTCAGGAATTCTGAGAAGAGAAAAGAACTTGCTCACGTCTTGTCAGACTCCCAGAAGTCAGTACTAGCGGCCCAAGATGAAGTGCAATCCTGGTTATCTGCCGATGTGCCTAAAACTTATGAGTATGGCAAGCCATTCTTGCCAACTTATCTTATGAACAAGCTACCATGGGAAATGAGGGTAATGCACGAATGGTATATGAAGGCATCTAGGAAAGGTCTCGGTTTCATAAGCGTCGCCGTCCCGGAAGGCGCTTTCATGAGTGGTCCTAATGGGATATTTTTTATCTCTTTCCAAGACCTTTACGCCCTCTACAAGCTAGATAAAATGGACGTTAATCTCGTTGCGGCTTTCTGTCTGTAAGTCTGAACTCTTTATTACATGTTGCACGTTTCATTCGAAACAAATAAACCAAATCTCATTTCTTCTTTATTCATTGTACAGTATGCAATTCCACGAAGCTGATAGAACTGGAGCAAAGGTTGGATACGTCGATCCAACAAGAATATGCAAAACACAACACACCGTAGAGCTGAGAGAGGACTGCGAGCAATTGGTTGGCAAGACCCCGGAAGAAAAGGAAGAATATGTGAAGACATTGCACAAGAGGAAGAAGCTAGAAGTAGCAACATACTTGGCAATAGCAATGTTGGCGCACGCCGATAAAGATGTCTTAATGGTCCCCTACCAGTTCACGTAAGCTCTCTCTTCTTTTTGTTTAATTAATTTATCTTCTTCGGAATTTTCTATCTCCAATAAGCCTATCTTATATGTAGAGACCACTACATATTATTCCTTGTATATCCGAAAGACCAATTGATCATATCATTGGACCCCGCACACTATGACAAGGAGACATTTATGGAATTCCTCACTATTTTGAATTTGTAAGTGATAAACATTTCATTACTATAAATTGTTTAGGTCGATCACCAGTCTTCTAACTACTAATAAAACAATTGTTTCCTTCAAACAGAGCACACAAGTACTACCGCAAAAGAGGTGGACCAGTACATATTCCATCCCAGAAGAAGTTATCCGTCAGGACTGGCTGGCCGGTACTATCAAATTTATACCAATACAACTAATTATTGAACAGTACATATATACTAAATATATCTACTAAGATCGGTCCCCATAATTATATCGCAGTGCTACAAACAACCACCAGGAACCAACTTGTGTGGTTATTACGTGTGCGAGATGCTCAGAGTAAATGGGAGGTACAAAACAACCAGTAACCGAGTAGGTCATCGAACTCTTCTCTACAAAGAAACCCATCTCGCACACACTTCTCACTGAGTACCATTTTATTTTCCTTTCTGTGTGCAGATCCCCGAAATCCCATATATTGCACAACGATTCAACGACACTACTATCTTGAACGTGGCCGCTGACCTCTGCCGATTCATCCGTCGCGATGTCTGCAACGCAAGAGGTCTCTTCTACGACAACCAGAGTGAACTCGCAATGGACGACAAATTTAAACCTCTCAGAGAGTGGGAGAAAGAACATATGCAATAACATGTACACTACTTATACATATGCAATAACATGATGAAAAAACTGTGCCACTTGCTATTATATATTTGTATGTAAATTACGATTGAATTAATGGTTATGTATTACATGTTTGTTACTGCGGCACTTGTCTTATCTTATATGCTTACTACTCCGAAATACGATAATAAATCCCTCAATAATTTAATATTAATTACGAATCACCAAAATGCTAGAATAAATATTATTTTAGCTATTCGGAAATTGAATTTCGCATGCGGTCTACTTAAGACGCCCGCATGCGAAAATAGATCTTCGCATGCGGTCTTCTTAGGTCAACCACATGGGAAAATATATCTTCGCATGCGGCTTCTTATATGGACCGCATGTGAAGATCTATTTTCGCATGCGGCCGTCTTAAGTGACCGCATGCGAAGATCGATCTTCGCATGCGGCTGCGACGGCCGCATGCGCAAATGGTGATCTTTGCAGACCATTTCGCGCATGCGGGCCGGCCAACCGCATGTGAAGATCGATTCCGCCCGTATGCAAAAACGCTTTCTGTAGTAGTGTCATGTGCAATATCATCTACAAATAAGTCATATATATAGTATGTTCATCTCTGCTAATTGATATTTAAAATGTAACTAATAACTAAAAACGATGAAAATTGAAGTTTAATCACTAGTATAGAACCGGCCATCCCAATCAGGCTATCCATGACGGAGGCAAGAGGCCTGTCACAAAGAAAGTCATCTTTGTCGGGCCGCAAAAAGCCTCGTCAATGATGGCCCGAGAGAGGCAGAATCTTAGTCCCCTAGGGTAGGGCCCGTCACGGATGGCCATCAACCGTGACGGGGTGCGGTTGAAGCCTGTTAAGGTCATCCATGACGGGCCGCAATAAAGGACCGTTACCGATGAAGGTCATCCGTGACGGGGCCTAGTGTTGAGGCCCAACAAAGATGAAGATGAAGCCCGTCACGGATGAACTATCGGGCTTTACTTGAGACCCATCACGAATGACCCATACTATAAATACCCCCCTAGACTTCGGAGTAACAGTAGTTGCGACCCGACACAGATGAGGGAAAATTTTCCGAACAACCTCATACGAAGACTTACCCTATATGAAAGTTGTAGATCTCGATGAGACCTATAACTTTAAAATTGACAATATTTGAATTAGATCGTTTATATGCCTAAATATGCATTATAAGTAATGAGATATATTCTGAGAAACATAATTTTGAATTTTTCAAATGATCTCCGATGGAAACATGCCCTATAGCAAAGTCAAAGGGTTTGATGAGATCTACAACTTTGTAATTGACAATATTTTCAACTTTGTAATATGTTTTATAAGTGATGTGATCTATTTCTAAAATATTTTTTGAATTTTTCAAACAAACTTGGATATGAGACATGCCATACACAAAAGTTGTGAAACTCGATGAGATCTACAAAGTACTTTGTAGTAGAAAGCATTCTTATTTGAAATCATCTAAAGTTTCAAATTTGTGTTTCATATTAGGACGACAATAGTCAAAAGAATAAAATCTGAAGACCTATCAACATGTAGTTATAGTTGAAATGGTGAGATTAGTTTGCTTGTGTTGAGAGGTCCTAAGTTTGAATCCTACTATTGGCATGAATATAAAAGTCCCTTGAAAAATCATAAACTTCTAGTTGGTGACGTGTGAGTTGTGCCATGGTTGGAATGTCCTAGTAATACAAAAAAAAATATTTTTAGGTCTTTGTTTGCATTTAAAATTAAAAAGTTGTTCATTCTCATCCATGAAGGTTCGTAATTACAAGCCATTATGGATGAGTCATCTGAGACGGGTGGTAACTTACCACCCGACAAAGATGAGTCATCCATGTCTGGCTGGAGAACCTATCTGTGAAGGGTTTGATTTGGGGCCCGACAGAGGTATATATGTCATCCGTGTTGGACCATGGCCCGACACAGATGATAGCTTCACATCACTTACCAATAATCACTGACCATGCACATTTTCGACATAGATGAGGGTATTGCCCCGTTATGGATGACCGGTTTCGTAGCAGTGAATATATCTCTTTGGGCACTGTTAGCTGTGTTCCTTCATTTGATGCACCAATCAGTTGTATACCTCCGTGGATTTAGTGACGGATCGATGACGTACTGTGTCTGGCTGCTTTCTCCAGCATGTTTCAGTTATTGCATTTGTTTTCTAAAGAATGAATTGGTGTTTCATGCGCTTGCATGCATGCACCTTTAAGTTGCATTGTACGTGCTTGATACTATGTTAATTTGTCTGTGTCCTAATGACGCACCATACATCTGTGTGTGAGATTTAGTTTGTCAATTGATGTATACATATGTGCTTTGTGTTCCTACCCACCAGGGCCTAGAACTCCACAGTGTGAGAGACTGAGAGCATTTTGTTGCAAAAGAATATTGGAGATAAACTATGTACTATGTGCTGGGGGGGGGGAATTGACGGATGGCGACTGAGTGCTTAGGGTTTCAAGAGAGGGCGACTCCAGTGGGAGAGTCCTCGTCGGTCCTCCCCCGCCGGCGATCGCCGGAGAAGGGTCTGCCTAGAGGATACACCCACGCGGATATCCTCACGGTAGCTGCCCGTGGTCCAGTTAGTTCTGGCGCAAAAATTTCGGGTGAATTTGCACACGAATTCCGGCCCGAGAGACCTAGCAATGGCGGTGGGAGCCCGATGGCTACAGTGCAGCCCAGAGTCGCGAGAGGCCCAGCGAGTTCCACGATGATGAATTGCGGAAAAAAAGTGGGTGAGATTAATTTGGAGGATATTTTCCCCAAATTTCGCCCCACTGAGCCGCAAAAGTGGATCTGGATCAAGCGAGGTGAGGTTCGCCCTCTTCTAGGGTTCCCGGCGAGAGACGACGAGATCCGGCGTTTTGGCGACGGAGCTCGTCGGATTTGGAAGGTGCCCGAGAAGAGGTGTGATCACCGCACCTTCGCCCAGGTTGTGATGGAGCGTCGTCCTCCCAATCGCCTGGATTGGCAAGCCAACAAGCGACGAGCGACAGAGCAAGGCGGCGGCGATTGGGGTGCACGAGGCGGAGGTGACTGGGGGGCGTGCGGAGCTCGCGAGGAGGAGGAACTGCATCGGCAACTCCTTGCTCAAAACCCTAGGGCGAATCAAGGTGCTCAATGGAAACCTCAAGGGCTCCCTGGTACCGATGGAGAGAGGGGGGCAAGAGCTCCTAAGATCAAGTGCTTCAAGTGTGGTCGTGAGGGCCATCACCAGGCGGCGCGCCCTAACCCTTCCCTCTGCTACTCGTGCCATAGCTCAGGTCATATTTCTTCCCAATGCCCCTTGATGATGAGAAAGGGTGTTAAACTTTGTGGTTTTGGCATTCCGGGACAGGGGTTCTATAGTTTGAATGTTGAGTTGTCTGATATGAGATTGCTAAAGCCCCTGTGAGAGGTATTTTGACTGTGCTTTTGGGATCTGGATCTGTTGCAAAAGTCATTGCTGAATTGAAACACCTGTTTGTGGGTCTTAATTGGGATTGGCGTGTGAAACAACTTAATGAGAAAGAGTTTTTAATCAACTTCCCATCTGATGAAGTGAGAAGTAAAATTTCAACATGTAAGAGTTTTGATTTCGAAACATCTGTGATCAAAGCAAGTGTAGTTGAGACTGGTATGACTGAGGAGGCTGTAGATGAGCTGGTAGCAGTTTGGGTCAAGGTGTTTGGAATACCAAAAAGTTTGCTAGGACTGAAGAATCTGTGAAAGCTATTGTGGAGCTAGTTGGGGAGTTTGAAGCTATTGATGGGGCTAGCTTAAGAAGGGATGGTCCTATAAGAGAGTTGCTTGCAGGGATCCTAGAGAACTTCACTTCTCCATCCACCTGTATATCAGCAAAGTTGGTTATATGGTGAGATGGGAACCTGAAGGATATCTTCCTTATGAAAACAGACAGAATCCTCCAGATGAGGGGATGACAGAGATGATAAAGATGATGAGGGGTTAGGAGAGGACATGAACCTTGATGAGGAATTTAAACAAAATACCCCAAGAGGTAGACAAGCTGCAGATGGACGAGCCCAACAGGGGAGTAGGTTAGGTGCTCATTCTGCTCCACCTGCTTTTAAGGGGAAGTCACAAGTAAGTCAGGGAGGAAAAACTATGAAGAAACTAGCTTCCAAAAAAGACTCCTTGCTGACTGTGATGGAAGGTACAGAGATATCTATTATCACTTCAGAGAGGAAGGCTCCAGAGGTATGTGCCAATATACCTATGGTGAAGGAATGTACCACCATGGTCCTTTGGCAGGAAGAGAACTTGCAGGAATCCCAAGAAATCCAAGATCCAGTGGTGCAATCTCAGGAGGATGTTGGGGGGTTTGCTGCTGATATCCTTGTCTTAGAGAGCTTTCTTTTGGATGATGATAATGAGAGGTGCCAGATACCAACAGACTCTGACATTGAGAGAATCAGAGAGGAAGAAGAAAAAGAAGAAGAGGATAGTTTTCAGGAGGTTTCACACAAGAAGAAGCACAGGGAGAAGAGATCTGAACCGGCAGTGACCTCCAGGATGAGTCTTAGGCAGAGAGAGATGGCTGATGTCCCTATAACAAAGAGAGCTGAATTTCTGACTTCAAAAAAGAATTTGGAGCTTCCAGATACTTCTTCTAACCCTTTTGCTATATTTTAAATCTTAGATAATTCTGAGTTAAATAACATTGCCATAGTTTCTAATATAGTGCTTGGTAGCTCTCCTGAAGAGATAGATAACACCATAGAAACTTTGAAAGCTAAAGAGGTGGTGCAAGCTAGGTTAGCAGAGTTGAATTGGAAAAAGGAATTAGGGAAGAAAAATCCACAAGAAGAGGAGATTAGTGGAGAGGTTTTACTTGATAAAAGTGATAATGAACAGCTGTTAAAGAGAGTTGACTTGACAGAATAAGAGGTTGTCAGATGATAAGAGTTATGGTAGAACTTTGAGAGAGGAAGATAATCCTGAGCCTAGTAAGAGAGGTGGACTTAGAAATCACAGGAAAAAATGAAAGTGCTTTTTTGGAACATTAGGGGGATGGGTAGTCATGCTAGAAAGAGACAGTTAAAAGAGTTGCTTAATAATAAAGAGGTTGACATTGTGTGTCTTCAGGAAACAAAGAAGGAGTTGTTCACTGAGAGAGAATTGAACTCTTTCCAAGGGGGGAAGAATTTTAGTTGGTGCTGGAAAGCTTCTAGAGGTGCTTCAGGTGGTATTCTTATAGGGGTTAACTCTGACTTAGCTGAGGCCATTGAGACCCATGTTGGTGCTTTTTTTCTTAGTTGTGTCCTGAAGATTAAAAAGGACAACTTCGTTTGGGAGATAGTTTGTGTCTATGGTCCTGTTGATAACACCTTGAAAAATGGTTTCCTTGATGAGTTGTCCTGGCATATCCAGTTCAGACTACATCCTGTCCTGCTGGGTGGAGATTTCAACATGTATTAATTTGCTAGTGAGAAATCCAATGGCAATTTAGATCTCAGATGCATGAATATGTTCATTAATTTTATTACTGGTTTGGATTTGAGAGAATTACACAGAATTGGTCCTAGATTTACTTGGACTAACAAACAAGATAACCCCACCCAGGAAGTGTTAGATAGAATTTTAGTAACTGATGACTAGGACAATAAGTATCCCAACTCTGTTCTTTCCTCTATTCTGAGAGTGGGTTCTGACCATATTCCCATTTTGCTAGATACCTGTGAGGGTAACATTGAGAGATCTAGATATTTTAAATTTGAGTCTGCTTGGCTAGCTGCAGAAAATTTTAAAGAGATGGTTACCCAAAAAATGCCAACAAGAGATGATTCCTACATTTTGGAGTTTTGGAACAAGAAACAAGCTGAGTTAAGGAGATTTCTGAAGGGTTGGGGGATTAATGCACACTGTGAGAGAGTCAGAGGGAAACAGGTTCTGCAGAAGAAATTAGAAATGATAGAGGCTAAAGCTTTGGAAAATGAGTTATCACCTGATGAATGGCAGGAGAGATATGCTTTGGAAAATAACCTAGAACAACTTTATGAGATGGAAGAGCTTTACTGGCATAATAGAAGTGGAGGACAATGGATTCTAGAGGGAGACAGAAACACTGACTATTATCATAGGATAGCTAATGAGAGGAAGAAGAGATGTAGTATCACTTCTTTGATGGATGGTGACACTGAACTAACATCAAAGGAAAATCTGAAAAACCACATTGTTAACTACTCCAAATCCCTGTTTAGAGCTGATCCCTCCCTAAATATCCACCTCTCCCCCAATGTGTGGGAAGAAGAGTTCTTTCTGAAACCTAAAGACAGGGAGGTTCTGATCAGACCCTTTAAATTAGAAGAGTTAGACAAAGTCCTCAAAGAGGCAAAGCTAAATACCGCTCCTGGCCCTGATGGTTTTAGTATCCCTTTCTATAGAGCTTTTTGGCCCCATTTGCAGAATGATATCTTTGAAATGCTTCTTATGTTGCACAATGAAGAGCTAGACTTGAAGAGATTGAATTTTGGTGTTATTTCTTTAATCCCAAAAAACAATGACCCTTCTGACATAAAACAATTCAGGCCTATCTGTGTTTTGAATGATTGTTTCAAGTTCATAAGTAAAGTGGTGACCAACAGATTTTCAGAGGTTGCCAATGGTGTTATCTCCCCTACCCAGACAGCCTTCATCCCAGGGAGATTCATTTTAGAGGGTTGTGTGATCATTCATGAGGTGCTCCATGAGTTGAGAATAAAGAACCTAGAAGGGATTATCCTTAAAATCGATTTTGAGAAGGCATATGATAAACTAAAATGGGATTTTTTGTTTGAAGTAATGGAGAAAAAAAGGTTTCCTCCAAAGTGGATTAGCTGGGTTAAATCTTGTGTTATGGGGGGCAAAGTTTGTGTTAACATCAATGGGGAGAGGACTGACTTTTTTAGAACTTTTAGAGGACTTAGACAGGGTGACCCTCTCTCTCCCCTCCTTTTCAATCTAGTGAGTGATGCTCTGGCTGCCATGTTTGATAGTGCTAAGAAGAGAGGTGTCCTTAGTGGTTTAGTCCCTAATATCTTCCCTGGGGATCACTCATCTCCAGTATGCTGATGACACAGTCCTTTTCATTGCCAATGATATGCATCAGATTGTAACCACAAAATTCATCTTATACTGCTTTGAGGAGATGGCTGGTTTAAAGATTAACTTTCATAAAAGTGAGGTTTTCTCTATTGGGATGAGTGAGCTTGACACTGAAAGAGTTGCCCAGATGCTGAACTGTCCTGTGGGTCATTTTCCTATGAAATACTTGGGGCTTCCTATTAGTCCTGATAAGATCCTAAATGTGGGTTTCGACTTCCTAGGCCAGAAACTTGAGAAGAGGTTGACCAAATGGGGAAGCAATTTATCTCATGCTGGTAGAGCAGTCCAGATTAATGCATGCCTCTCCTCCATCCCCTTTTATGCCATGGGTTTTTATCATCTTCCTGAGGGGATCCATCAGAGTTTTGATAAAATTAGAGGTAGATACTATTGGGCTAGTAACAAACTTAGAGGGAAATACCATATGGTCAAATTGGAAGATATGGCTTTCCCAAAGGATTTTGGAGGGCTTGGTTTTACAGAAACTAGGAAGATGAATATTGCTCTCCTAGCAAAATGGATAATGAAGGTGGATTCAGAGGACAAGAGTCTGTGCATAGAGTTGTTGAGGAAAAAATACTTGACCAATGAGAGTTTCTTTTCCTGTAAAATTGGAAATGTTTCCCAGTTCTGGAGAGGCCTTCTGAACATCAGAGGATGGATGATGCTGGGGGCAGAATGGAGTATTGGGAATGGGCTGAGTGTCAAATTCTGGAAAGATACCTGGTTTGGTAACTGCCCACTGATGACCCTTTTCCCTGCGATCTATAGAGTTTGTAATCAACAAGAGATTTTAGTTAGTCAGGTGGGTCAGGGGGGCCCAGGCTGCCTATCCTTTAGGAGGTCTTTTGGTCCTGAGGAATTAGAGGAATGGAATGATCTTAAAGAGATAATTGATCAAATTGTTCTCTCTGATACACATGACAAGCTCAATTGGGGTCTGAATGCAAACAAGAAATACACTACCAGATCACTCTACAGAGCACTAACTTTCAGAGGCATTGGGGATGTGAATGCTAAGATGTGGGGTTGCCCTTGCCCTATGAAACATAAACATTTCCTTTCGTTAGCTCTTAGAGATAGGATCCAATCTGCTGAACAGCTAAAAAAGAAGAATTGGGAGGGGTCTGAATTTTGTCAGTTGTGTGGGGAGTTAGAAACAACTAATCACATCCTCTTTAACTGTCCCATGGCTAGATTTGTCTGGTGCGTGTGTAGAGACACTTTGCGCTGGAATTTTATACCAAGAAACTCTGATGAGTTTTTCTTGATGTGTGATGGGGCTCCTGATCTTTGCTCTGTTAGAATCACCCTGAGTCTTTTAGCTGCTGTTTGTTGGAATCTTTGGATTACTAGGAATAATATGATTTTCAGGGACAAGTTGGTGTATTCCCCCCTTGCTATCCTTTTTCAAATAACTTCTAATCTTGTGCAGTGGAAGAAGCTTTGTCGTCCTGGGGAGGCAACTAAACTGGAAACACTAGCGGAGGAGATGAAGCGGATGGTGGCGACTCTTAGACCTTCCAGGACGGGTGTGGGCTGATACTAGAAGTCCCTGGGAAGCTGCTGTTTTCTGTTTGGTTTCCGAAGAGTTGGTTTTTGGGGTTGCTTGTCTCCTGTAGCTTACTTAGAGTTTCTTGTTGTTTATCTGCCCAGTCTCTTGGATGTTTTAATTGTGAACTTTGTTTCCCTGTTTCTGCCTCCCTGCGTGGAGGATACAAAAATGTTTGCTGGCAACCCCAGCAGGAAGATGCCGTATTTGGCTTTCTTTAAAAAGCCGGGCCCTGGGCCTTTTGTCTAAAAAAAACTATGTACTATGTGATCGATGTGCAAGGCAGCAAATTATTGTGTTGTGTGGCTGTTATTTTTGTTTCATCAGTATCAGTCTTACTCTGTGTATTCTAGTAATAGTCTCTTGAGAACATGCAGTGGGGAAAAATACATTTTATGCTCATTTCTAGGAGAAGCAAAATGGCTTGCTATTCGCGAAAAGGCATGTAGCATAGTGGTTACAAGAGTCTCAGTAGCACCTGAGATTCTGGGTTCGACTTCTCATGGGAATGAATTTTCTAGAATTTAACAGCAAATTCCAGAATTTGCCGGCCCAGTCTTCGAAGATGCTCATAGGGGTGAGTGCGCGTGCGTTGTGAGTGTTTGCATTGTACTGTGTAATTCTAAAAAAAAATGGCTTGCTAATCATGTGCCAACAGTGAATGGTTAGAAATGGCTTTACTAGCCTGGGGCTCATGTTGTGCCTGGTCCTTGCATTCTTTCTGTTACGTTGGGGCGACGAGTAATTAACCAGAGATGGATTTACTTGAGCGCCACCCACCTATGTCTGAAAACTTTTTTTTTAGACTTTTTTATTTTTTTTAATTTTATTAACAGACCATTCCAAAACGTATTTGTAAATCTGAACCTTTTGGCCGCCTGGCGTGGCCAAATGCCAAATAACTCTATCACGTCATGTGCAGCTAGCGGGCATTGCTACGCCAGCCTCTTACAAGGATTATTATTATATAAAGGAAAAATTACGAATTACTCCCTGAACTATTGGGGTCAACCGATTTGCCCCCCTAAACTCGAAAACCGGACATTTGACACCCCAAACTCTTAAAACCCGACAAATTACCATCCTAACACGGATCGCAGCGGTTTACTACCTACGTGGCACACACATGGCGATACAGCCAGCAAAAACAAATAAAGAAACCAGTGGGGCCCACTTGTCAGTGTTTTTTTTTCTCTCCTTCTTTGCCTCTCTCTCCGTGAGCAGAGGAGAGAACACATGGCTGTGGCGAGCCAAGGACGCGCTCTGCCTCCGCCTCCACCGCCGACCGCCCGAACTCGCCGCCTCCACCACCAGTCGCCCGAGCTTGCTTTGCGTTCGCCGGCGGACATGGTTGGACGGCCACAATGCCGACGACCAGGACGACGGACCGTTCGCCGCCTCCACCGCGTCAACGAGAGAAGCAGAGAAGGGAAGGGGAAAAATTGCAGAGCTCGAGCGTGAGGCCGTCCATCCTCGCCAACCCTTCCTCGACGACCCTTCCGTCTGCCCCATGCACCGCCACAGTAGCCTCATCCATGGCGGCGGGGGCAAGAAGTGCGGCGGCAAGCGGCGGCTCGGCTTGGCTCGGCTAGCTCGCTCGGGCGTCGCCATCACACGCCACCCACCAGACGAGGGTGGCATCGGCATGGCCGGACGCTGGCACGCTGCTCGCGGCGATGACGCGATCTACCCGTGGCAATGTCACGGAAGAATTCTGAGAGAAATTGAATCGACGAACGGTGTACATGCATGTACAGGTTGTACAGATGTGTGCTGCTTGCCGGTGTGACGGGGTAGTTTTACAGGAGCAGCAACGAAGCGGGGAACACCAGGAGCAGGAGAAGAATCAGGTGGCATCTTAAGCGGCGGCGAGCAGCGGCGGGCGCGATGGCCGGGGAGGGGAAATCGATGGCACGGCTGTGTGGCTCCGGTTGACAGCGATGTGGAGATTATGGGTACCTCATACCCACACGGCGTGGTTATCCGACTGATATAGGGGATAACTTATATCTATGAAATATGTAACGGATCATGACTTGGGTATTACGTTTCTTATGAAACGGCCTAAAGTCCTGGTTTGATAAGATTGTAAAGTAGATTTAGGAAACCGATACCATATTGTTTAAGGTTTCTATCTTGTAATCCTGCCCCCCATCCTATATAAGTTGGGCAGGAGGCCCTCTAGGGGGCATGAGACAACTAAATCGTCAGATCTATACTACACCCGGCGGATTCAAATCCCCAAACAGGAGTAGGGTATTACCTCTCATCAAGAGGGTCTGAACCTGTCTAAATCCTTCGTCTCCGCATCCATCCATTTTTAGGTCTCGTGCGCTACCCCCTTTTATTATTGCCGAATTTATGTTTCGACAGTTGGCGCACTAGGTAGGGGTTGCGTCGAGTTTTCCGTCGAGAAGTGCGATGGAACCAATTTTTCTAGAGATGTGATGAGATTGATCTCGATAAGTTCGACGGTTTCAATTTTCCACTCGGGTTTGCCGTTCCGATCAAACTTTTATCAGATTAATTTTTCATTACTATTTGCAACTATGAGATCAAGGCGAAGCGGTCGGCGACCTCGCACGTCCGGCCGCCGATCCGAACACCATCATGTTGTCCAGCAGCTGTCCCTGCACGCGGAGCAGTGCTGAATATCAAGCTGTCGTCGGCTACAGGGGCTTATATACGCTGCATGGCGCGTCGTCGGCTGTCACTCGTGATTCAGCCTCATTGCTCGATCCGAGTTTTTCGTTTCTTATCCATATATATTATATTTATTTCTAATTGCAGATTGATCTGTTCTAGCATTACTTTTTTGTTCTAGCAATACTTTTTTGACAGTACCGTCGATGCCAAGCGATAGATTATTTTTGGGCAGTACTCGTGCGTACTCCACCTCGGCTATGGAGGCTCAACGGCCACGTCATCAAGTCATTACAAGCTGTACATGGATATATGTACAAATATATATATGCTTGGGCTGGCATACGAACACATGGATCTGCATCTGGAGTACATGTATACGCCAATCAGAATCAGCCCAAAAGCCTACGATTAACTTATATCGAATCATCTACATTCAAACATGTATGCATGCACCGATATATATTGTACTAATCTATTAATGGTTTGTTGATCGTTTGCATGTACTCCCGAATGGCGGTTGTTTATCAAATCGCCTCCGTCGTTATCGACCGGTGTTCTCGCCTTCATGATTGGTTGGTCACACCACCGTTGATGAGCGTCTACGTCTTCACCGATCAGCCGCCTCGTCTGCCGCCAACAGCTGTCTCCGTCTGCACGGTTGGCCTATTATGCTGCCGTTGATGGGCGTCTACGTCTTCACCACCGGCTTGCCTTTGCCGCCGCCGACTGGTGTCTTCGCCTATACGGTTGGTTGGTCACACCACTGTTCATGGGCGTCCACGTCTTCACCGACCGGCTTGCCTTCGCCGCCGCCGACTGGTGTCTCCGCCAACACGGCCGGCCTATTATGCCGCTGTTGTTAGGCGTCTACGACTTCACCGTCGGCCTGTCTTCGCCACCGCCGACTGGTGTCTCCGCCTACACAGCCGACCTATTAAGCCGCTGTTGTTGGGCGTCTACGACTTCACCGCCGGCCTGCCTTTGCCGCTGCCGACTGGTGTCTGCGCCTATACGGTTGGTTGGTCACACCACTGTTCATGGGCGTCCACGTCTTCACCGACCGGCTTCCCTTCGCCGCCGCCGACTGGTGTCTCTACCAACACGGCCGGCCTATTATGCCGCTGTTGTTGGGCGTCTACGACTTCACCGCCGGCCTGCCTTCGCCGCCGCCGACTGGTGTCTCCACCTACACAGCCGGCCTATTAAGCCGCTGTTGTTGGGTGTCTACGACTTCACCGCCGGCCTGCCTTCGCCGCCGCCGACTGGTGTCTCTGCCTACACGGCCGGCCTATTATGCCGCCGTTATTGGGCGTCTACGACTTCACCGCAGGCTTGCCTTCGCCGCCGCCGACTGGTGTCTCAGCCTACACGGCCGGCCTATTATGCCGCTGTTGTTGGGCGTCTACGACTTCACCGCCGCCGACTGGTGTCTCCGCCTACACGGCCGGCCTATTATGCCGCCGTTGTTGGGCGTCTACGACTTCACCGCCGGTCTGCCTTCGCCGCCGCCGACTGGTGTCTCCGCCTACATGGCCGGCCTATTATGCCGTCGTTGTTGGGCGTCTATGACTTCACCGCCGGCTTGCCTTCGCTGCCACCGACTGGTGTCTCCGCCTACACAGCCGGTCTATTATGCCATCGTTGTTGAGCGTCAACGACTTCACCGCCGGCCTGCCTTCATCGCCGCCGACTGGTGTCCTCGCCTATACGGTTGGTTGGTCACACCACCGTTCATGGGCGTACATGTCTTCACCGTCGGCTTGCCTCCGCCGCCGCCGACTGGTGTCCTCGCCTATACGGTTGGTTGGTCACACCATCGTTGATGGGCATCTTCGCTTTCACCGACCGGCTTGCTTCCGCCGCCGACTGGTGTTTTCGCCTATACGGTTGACAGACTCCGCGGCCGTTGATGGGCCTTGTCATCTACACCGGCTTGCCTTCACCACTGCTGTCCGGTTTCTTCATTGCTATTGATGGATGACTTTGTTCCCACATCGGTCACCTCTATCGTCACCGAGGGAGATAAAAAAAAGCTAAGTCATCATTACTTTTCTTTATATGATATTTTCCTTTTCCTCTGCCTCACTACATCAAATGGTTCGCCGTTGACTAGTGAGTCGGGGGCTACAGATACTATATCATATTTTTTAACAATTTTTCATAATATTTATCTTGATTGCTGGCAAAATAATCCGAGTAACAATAAAGTTTCGATCGAGTTATGGAGTTCTATCTTCCTATGCTTTCCGTTTGGTTTGTCAATGGATATGGGCCAATTCCTAGCACCCGGGGGCTCGTTGGATGGACCGAGTAACTCAAGGTGCTAAGTATTACTCGAAATAAATCATAAGCATAGAGATAAGATAAATTTATTTTCTGCTCTTAATAATTGCAAAAGTACCCGAGTAGTAAATTCTGATCCGTGAAACTTTGTTCCATTAATGATGAACTCATGTCACTCATATGCATGTTTGGGAAGTGCCTAGGCCGACTCCCGGTGCTTGGTGGCTATGACTAGTCGGGCAGAGTGTTTAAACGTAATGAGTCATCTGCTCGTGGAAATCAAAATTGACGAGAGGAGAAATACATATTTATAAACATTTTAAAATACTTGAATTTTCATCGAGTATTATATTTACATCAGATACTACTCATCCTATATGTTTGTTCTGCAGGA